GTTTGCTCTAGGTGAGTCATCTCAATCCTTCCTTCTCCTGTCCCTTCCTTTCTGTCTGTTGTGTGTCCATTTCTCCTCCTTAGCCACTGACAATGCTCAGATGCATTTGTCCCCTGGTTTCATTATACCCAACATGTGTCTGAGTTATCTTTTTCTGCAGGAGAGCAATTGAGAGCTGCACTGAGGGAAGGTAAGGAGACTTTCTAAAACCCTATCCTATTATGAGTCCTTCCTTGGCTCCACATGAATCAGAACAGGAGCTTCTGCCTTTCTAGCTGGACCCTGACTGACACGTCCCCATGTTCACCTCTTTTCCAAGAGGCAGAATAAGGGACAGGGATGTACTAAAGAGGATCCAGTCCTTGCCCTGCGGCCACAAGACAGGCTGCTTTTTGCCTTAATTAATGCGTGCTAGGTCCTTCCTCTGCCTCTGGAATGTACGCAAGTTTATTTAAGTCTTTCTCCGACACCTGCAGAGTGGACATACCTATAATGAAATGGGATGCGAAGAGAACTAAGTAAAGTTGATTATTTTTTCTGACATTTAAGTACGACACATGGCAAGTTTTAGTGAGGATTAGTTGCGTACTTTTTATATTGATACACACTGTGACACAGGCGATATTGTAATATTTTAGGTTGGTCAATACATTAGAAAGGTCAGGCTTATGTGGCTTCAGCCAGAGTACACAGTAGATCACGGATTTTCTTGTGATTTTCTCTTGTCATTTTCAAAGCTTTTATCACTCTGCCAGTACCAAAACAATGATTTTTGAGAGCAAGAGAAAAAGGAGAATTTTACCAAGCCTTGAGCTCATGGTCAGGGCACACTACAGTTCATATAACATAAAGAAAAATCTAAAATATACCATTTTCTTTTGGATTATTTTCTGCATTACAATAGAAGCAGTGAAGCATAATTTGGGAAAGGAACTGTTTCAGAGCTGCGTCTGATCTGGAGGCTGGTAGTTCATGTTCCTTTTTAAACCAGTCAGGCTGCATTCCAGCTGGTCTGAATGAGCCTCCCCCCGCAGGGATAATATCCTTGAAACTTAATCGAAAAATCTGTATCTGGAAAGGAAGCCGAAGGATGGGAATGAGCTTACTCCAGTTCCTCTCAACTTCTAAGGGTTTTCTTCTCATTTTGAAGAAAGCGTTCTTGCATCAGCATCATCTCTTTTCCTCTCTCAGTCCCCCCAAATTGTCTTGTCCCTGTGAATGTTGTCAAACCTTCCCTCATAGAATTGACATCTTGCCAACAACACCTCCCAGGTCTGGTGGAGGTTTGCTCCTTACTCACAGCTTACTACAGAGGCAAGCTTTGTGCTTTTCAGACATAGAACAAAGGGCACAAAGAGGTCCTGCCTGGTGGTTGTACCGCTAATAAATAACCATGATTAATAATCAAGGCATACCAAAAACACCCAATGGAGACACCAAGTCAGCATCCCAAGAGATAGTGTAGGGTTCACAGCTGGACAGCGGGCCCCAGGCATTGACAATGATGTCTGATTCTGCCCACTAGGAGCAAGCGTGTGGCCAGATCCTGACGGCTCCCCAAGACTCATGGTTCTCAGGCAAGTCACTGCACGCTGAAAGTCCTCAGCATCTTTTGAAAATCCATTTGTTTGTGTGAGGACTTTAGCTGGGTGCCAGAATGAGGCTTGATGCTTAGCTTTTGGCAGCCCGTGTTCAAAATGGCAGTCTTTGTAAACGCATTGGTGAAAACAGAAACCAAATGGGAGCCTTGTGGGAGTCCCTTATTTTTCCGAAAACCTCCTTGGCTCCATATTTAATAATTTTAGCTTCAAGAGAAGGTGTTTCAAATGAGAGAAAAATGGATTTGTTCATATTAACCAGAGTCCTGAGCACTTTGGGAAAAATGTAACCATTTCATGTTGATGACCGAGCTAGAGTTGCTTGTTTATGCAAATCTAGAGCCACATATGGGTGCAATCAGATGCAATGGTCTCTGCAGCAGCAATTTCTAGATGCGATGGCAGAAGCAAATAACTGTGACATTACTTGCTTGGAAACTTGAAACTGCAAATTTGATACCATTTTCTACGTGTATATTATCACTTCTGCTGATACTCCCTTTTGTCTATAGGTGGCAGTGACCTTTCATTTTTTCTCTAAAATAGGGCAGAAGCATACATATATATATATCTTCCTAATTTTACTAAAGGCTCTGGGCAAGGAATGTGAGGCTGTGCCACTGTGAGCTCTGCACCCAGAGGAATGCCCACCCAGAGCATGCCAAATGGGTAGTTGTAATACTGCTCATACAATGCAAAAATCAGTGCAATACAATAATCAATTACTGTTGCAAGGAGGGAAAAAGTCTGAAGACATATTATACATGCACATGGTGGAGAACTGCATTTGGTGTTTTGGGATCATATTCCCAAGAGCTTTATGTAGCAGGTTTGTCCCATTTTTAGCAAAAATAACCTCCAAGTCTTGTCCAGCTTTCTATGAGAGAGAGGGTTCTGGTGAGTGAAAAACTTTAAAAATTCCACATGACCACTGTGTGTGTTTTATTTCAGTGAGAATTATAAACTTAATTGTAGAGAATGGGTAATCCCTCCTAGAGTAAAATACGCCAGAGATCAGAGCCTGCGATCTCTGCTCTGTATCAGTTAAAGATAACTTACCTGACGTGAGTAGAGCTGCATCAACAGGAAACTGGAGTAATTGAGAATCAAGCTACAAATCATTGTCAAAATAAAAACAAAAAAAGAATTTGCTTCTCACACTCGCCACAGATATGTACTGATTTTACAGCACTTGTGAAAAAGGAAGTACGTAACCTGCAAATATTCCGTCCTCTGCGTAAGTTGTCTCCTGGCATAAACCAGGCGGCCTTGTGAATGGAAAACAAAAGTAAATCCTCCAGATTCAACCAGATACTAAATTTACCATCGAGACTAAGCAGTAGGATTTGAATCTTGTTTTCTTCTCTTCCGATAGGAAACAGAATTACATAGCAAGGACAAGAGGCCATTGTACGTCCATGGGGAAACGCTGGCTCTTTTCCAACATAAATCAGAAGTTCTGATTTATAGTGGAAATATCAGCTGAGAAGATAAAATCCCTGTAAAATAACTCTGCAGTCTGAAATCAAGGCTCAGTCCTGCAGCCACTATTTATGCAGCGATTCTCAGCAGTGCACGACCACGGTTCGTGTTTCAGCAACAGCGGGGGCCGTTCAGTGTCCAGCGCGGCACTAGGCACTTAGCAGAGAACAATAACCATCTCTGGAGAGAGTCCCAGCTTGGATTTCACGTCAGCTAGGATGCAGCATAAAACAGAAGCCAGATCTGGACCATCCTTGTAAAGCAAAGGTTTGTAGATTGAGGTTAGGAAAAAAACACAACGAGCCTGAGCTCCGTAAACACTAACGGGAAGCAGACACTTGGGTCTGTGGGCTGAAAGGGGAGCTGCCCCCAGTTCTCACATTCAAATTCTAGTGAACATGATTTAGCAAAACTACTCTTTTCCTTCTTTTCTCCAATAGCCAAAGGTTGTTTAATTAAAATACTAAAGAAGTTGCTCTCATCCATACCTCTGCAGCTTCACTGATTCATACAGGCATAAACCAGAGCAATAATAAAACAGAAGAGCACTTGGTACCCACGGTGGCTGTGCAGGACATCCAGAAGGATGAGCACTGGGGGTGGAGCCAGCTCCAGCCCTCTGCGTTCCTCTCTTTAGAGACCTTCCTCTTTCAATGTGTGGCTCAGAATAGTTTCTCCTTATTGTTTTTTTTGTGTAGCTTTAACAGTATATATACATACATATCCTGAGCCAAAGTCAATAGGAACCTTCCTCTTCACTTCAGTCTGGTTTGCCCTTCAACCATGTTGCAGGGAGTATGTTTGGCCCCAAAGAATTTATGGTCCTAGACCAAAGCAAGCTCAGAGGGTACATAAATGTATTTTAAATTAAGGGGGAAAAAAAAAAAAAAAAAAAAAAAAAAAAAAAAAAAAAAAAACCAAAACAAAAACCCCAGCAGGTTTATGTGTACTTGTACATAGGAAAGATGCTAAAATTGAATCAAACACATTGCCCGTGAACAAAGTTTAAAGAAATCAGAACACTTTCACTAAGTGTTGAATTATCTAATGAACTAATAGTAATTAACTAGCTAAGATTATGCCTGGATTGTACCAGAGCTGTGACTCCAGTGGGTATGAACATAAGAAAGCCATTTTAAACTGACGAGCTTGGGTATCAGTAGTGCTGCACCTGTGGCAACACAAGATGCTCAAAAAACACATCCAGGACCACAGATGAATGCTGCAGTGGCTGCTTCATGTTGTCTCTGACTTGCTGCAGCTACAGTCTTGGCAGTGCTCGAAATAGCCAAGGAAATGTAGCTCAGTTAATTCTATGGGCTGCCGTCGACTGGTGAAGCTGTCTAGGGCAGGCCAAATACTTCCACAGCCACAGGCCAGAATTTTCCCCAGAGGATTTGTTATAAGTAACTGCAGGACATACAGGGCCTGATATTCAGAGTTTACATGCATGATGTCTTTGCATGCTGCCTCTTTTCTTTCTTCTTTTTTTTAAATGAAAGCCAAACAAAAATATAAACCCCCACCAAGCTGCTGTAATTTATTCATATATTTTGGTCTTTTTCACTTTATTCTGCTGCTAACTCCATGTTACTATCTACTGAGTGCTAATGAATGATGCAGGTGTGATTGCATCCAGTTTTCCTCAGCAAACAAGAAAAGTTTGTTAGTTTGTACCATTTTTAGTGAGCAGATGTGAGCCCCTCTGCACAACTGGGTTTGAGTAAGACTGGTTGGTGCAGACTGATGACTGGGGCAGGTGCCTTTGGGAAAGCAGGTGGGGCTTATTAGGAATTTAAACAGCCTGCCAATGTCTGTCACCATTGGCTGTCTCTTAATTTGAATTAGGCAGTAAATTCATATTAATGGGAAAGAAAGGGTTATTTGGGGTTTTTTTTTTCCCTCCACCTTACAGGAGCTATGGGGAATACAATGAGTGTCCCAGAGGGAGCTGAAGAAGACAATACATGCACAGTAAAGAGCTATCAGGTAAGCAAGAGCTGCCCACTCTCACGTTCCCTGGCTATTGCATATTGCAATATTGCAATTTTCAAATCCCATGATGTACCCAGTAGTAAGGACTGTATTATTTGCTGTTTCAGGCTCTGTCTGAATCTCCTGACAATATTAAAAATGGATCTGTTGCATTTGTTCAGGCTCCTTCTCCTGCAATGAATGGTGAAGGTATGTACTGGGAAAGGGTGGCATATTTGCACTTCTTTTGCCACCAGACAGGCGGAGAGAGGTTTATACTGGAGCAAAAATAAATATTGGTGTATGGTCTCAAATTAAAAGATGAGCCCATGCTTTAGCTCTTATTTGTGAATCAGTACATGTGTTTTTTCAGAAGCTTGAAAGCTTAAAGGTAAAAAAGAGTAAAATAGGAAAATATTTCTGAAGTCCTCTGGAAGCTGTTTATTTCATTGTTCTAATAATTTGGTTCTGCATCTGGTCCACAAAAAGTGGTTTTATAGACTGAAGACTTTGGTTAGTGTGAAGTGTTACAGGGCAGGAGTGGTTTGGCACTGGTGCCTTTCAGGTTGTTGCACAAACCTCAGGGTGTCCTGTGATAAACTACTTCTGCTTGGGCTCTGGTGGAAATAGTGCCTCTAACAAGCCTTGGAGAATCACTGCTGCAAGGAGCACAAATTGGGGCTCTTGAAAGGGGCATAATGCAGTAATGGCACCAATGTAAGGATCAGTGGCCTGTTAGTGAGGTTTTGTCTTTGGGGGGGCACAATGAGATGTTGTTTTGAAGACTGGAATAAGAGAGAGGTTCATGTGTTGGAAGGGAGAGCAAAATAATAGTCTTTAAATAATGTCATGGCATCCCTGCTGCTAGCAGGGAGTTATGGGATGATGCTGTTGCCAGATTGAAATATCCACTGGTGTGGAAACCAATAGTCTGGAGGGGATGTAGGAGAAAATAAAAAAAAACCAAAACAAAACACAAACCACAAGGGGACTCAATGTATTGAAAAAGTAAACTTATGCAGGCTAGAAACTAAACTTTTTGAGCTTTAAAATATTCCCCAACTACTGTGGAGAAGTAACCTTTGCGAGGCAAACGTTTGTGCTGTTGATCAGGCTGCTTTGCTTTGCCAAACCCATTCTCTGGTCACAGTGGGCACAGCTCTGGGACTATTTAGAAACTGGGCTGCTCTATAGAGAGCCACTATAATCTTCTGTTTGTAAAAGAAATCAGCAATGTGCCCTAGACTTAAGAGTCCATCCCCAAACTGCCTGATAATGATGCCTAAAGATAGGCAGGCTAGAACTGTATGAAGATTGTATTCAGGTGACAAAAAAAAAAGGGAGTAGGGAACTGTTTAGGGGAGGACTTCTTTTAGTGACTGCAATAGAAGACATTCTTTTGAAGCATTCTGCATGCACTCAACTTTCTGGGGATGTTTTGAGCAGTTTAATGTTAATAAAAGAAAACTTTGTGAAATTCTTTGCAAGCTGGTTACAGAAAATGAAATAAAAATAAAATGAAATCCACGTCCTAGCTACATGTTCTCATCCACAAGATTGTAAAGTCTTAGAAACCACCTCTGCATTTTTTTTGTGAAACCATATTTCTGATCCTTTCAGTAGCAATTTCAACAAATGATATGATAGAAATGTGAGTACCTTTTTGTTCATCTAAACATTTCCATCTTGTTCTCTGAATTCTGGTCCTGTGTTCTTGAGTAGGTGCATTGCTTTGACTTCAAAGATACCAAACAATTATTTGTTAACAATCAAATATGTAGAGGGATATGTTTTTCTGTCCTGTTTGTCATTTAGAAAAAGTGATTGACTGGGAAAAGTACCATAAGGTGGTAAGCATTATACCTGCAGTGGTGGTGTTACAACATAATTGCCTCTGGACCTGAGGTTTTGCAGTGAAATGTCACTTCTGATCCTGAGCTGGGCCTTGGTGGTACCTTTCATACATAGAAACCTACCTTGCTCTCATTTTAGAGGTAGTAGACCTTCTTGAAGAGAGCAGAGTATGTCTAATCTGCAGTGAGATATTCATAAACAAAATTTAACTGTGTCAACTGCCTGTGTTTAAATTCTAGAGAATTTAGAGTATAGCACAGTAATTTATAAAGCTAGATAAGGGACAGCTGGGAATGCAGCATGGCTGACAACATCATTACCAAGAGATCAGTCCTATTTACCAGAATTTATTCAAACTGTGTCACAAGACTGATGATGTAAACCTGACCACCTCTCTCCTGTTACTGTTATAGGGTGTGTTAGATACTACTCAACTACTGCCAGGCCAACAAGAGCATTGCAGGGGATGATGATGACTTGTTTCTCTTTCTCTGTACACTAATGAAATAAAATCAATATGCCCCTATTATGTATAAACTGTGGGTGTTAGTGTAGAAGTTGAATAGTTGGTGGGGGTATGGGTAAATCGCTACTCAGTGAGCGCATCCCATTTCAGACCTATTTGGGTGGTGTTCGTAGCAGGACAGCAACCGGGTTCTCGAGCGATCACACCAGTGGCAGCATGGGCTCCCCGTGGAAAGGTGCTTGTCAGCAGCTGAGCCCCACTTCCAGTGTTGACATCTTGAGAATCTGGTGTAAAGTACATGTCCTGAGCATTAAAAATTTGGCTTCAAGTAGTTTTGAAAAGTTATCTCCACGTGTTCATGGGCAATTGCTCTCATCCACAGACATGTGTCTCTCTCCTCACCTTTCAGCATGTCATTAATTTCTCCTTCCATGTCTTGTTGGCTTTGGAGCCTTTTTGAGCAGCATTCAAGCAGCGCTCATTTGGAGCAGTGTTGCTTCTGTTCCCATCTCTGCAGATTCAGCTGTGTTAATTTTACCAGTGTTTTCCTTGCATCGGATTGCTTTCTGCTTTCAGAATACAATAAAAACCAACAATTCTCTCCAATCTCTGTAAGGAAAGAAAATATTATTTTATTATTCATTGCTAAGAGAACCCTCTCAGCCTGTTACATCCAGTTGAAAAATCTAAGCTTAGACAAAAATAATCAGAGACTGGCATGGCAATATGCAGATGGTGCTGGTTACAGTTCAGAATCTCTGTTCCATGGCTAATTTCCTAATGCCATCTAGCTACAAGAAGTCAGTTTAAATGGTTGCCTACTAGAAAATAAAAGCCTGTAGCTGTGTTTCTGCTGGTGTAAACCAGCAGAGTTCTGCGAAGTAAATAATAGCCAGATGATTTACACTGTCTGAAGACCTAGAAAACAAGTGTATATTTTACTCTTAATGTATAAAATGAAGCATATGGCATTGTTTTACTTCAATGGATTACCTAATTAATGTAATTACTAAATCAGTTTAAGTAGCAAGTTGAAAAATTGGACTGTCCTGTGTTGATATTACTCATCTTTTAACTTTATTAATGTTTTAAAAGCAGATACCACTGAAATATCACTGGTTTGTGTAATGTAATCAAGGTCTTGGTGAAATAGAAGTGCGAGCAGGGTTTGGAGATAGAAATTCCTATAGAAAATGTAGTTGATAGTATTTCTAAAAAGAAATAATGCAAGAAATAGTACTGTAGTCTATGGTCATAAAGTGAGCACTTCTGGAGAAGACAGAAGAGCTGCAAAAAAGGCAAGTGAAGCAAGAGGATTTTATGAATAGTGTTAGATGTATATTTGTGGTCTTTGTCTTGTTAGTTTGCATTTCTGTGATTGCCAGTGATCTGACCATGTGCTGTGCATTAAATGGTATAGTTGATAAACGAGTCTATGAAATCTATATCTGCTAATATAATGAAAAAAGAATCCAGAGAGTTAACTTAATATGACCAGAGGAAGTAATGTTATTTGGAAGAGCTCTGTCACCATCTGCTTCACATCTGGGTGAGCGGATTGGTGACTGGTTCCCTACATTTGCTGCTTCTGCTCAAACAGGCTGACAGATGTGTGGACGTAGGGATTCTTTCCATGACTTGCCTTTCCTGCTCCTATTGATTATCAGGGCTGCAGACACTGCACAGGGTGCTAGCATCCACCTTCTCCTCCTGTAATGCTATTTAAATAGGAGCGGTGCCCTTACTGCTACTTCATGACATGCTGCTTTGCAAGCAAAAGGATAGCAAATTTGATCCTGACTTTTCCTAATGTTTTGTGTTGGCCTTTTTGAACCTTAAGTAATATAAGTACTTGGTGAAAAATGGGTAAAGGGAAGAAGGCCAGAACTAAAAGCCCTATATCTCCGAGATGTTCACTACATAGAGCAGAAATGTATCAGGAGGACAAAATGGGAAAATTTTGTTTGTATTTGGGTGGCAATTACTTGCAGATTAAAACAGCGACCTGCTCATAAAAAGAAAGATTCCACAAAGAAGAAAAGTTCGGTTAAGATGCAACTCCTTTGTTCCAGAGGATAAATCTGATTCAGCAACTTCTGCTACTAGCCAGTACCTAACGGATGTGGGTGTATTGCAATAACTCTGTGTGCCTGTGAGGTGTGAAACACAATGCATTTTAGTTAATTTTTTAAAGAATGGTCGTTACTATTCTTGCTGCTAGCTTCTCTTGCCCTATTCCCATTAATTTCAGTAAATCTGTTAGGTAAATAATGCTAGTTAACTCAGTGAAACAAAATTATTCTTAGAGCATAAATGTACTGTCAACCTTATTTGCATGGAATAGTTGAGCAAGATTGCAAAAGAATATTAGTATGTTTTTTCTTTTTTAAGAAAGGGGGGAAATGTCTTATTTTGGAACTCTCTGATGCTTCTGCAAACTCACTCATTTAGTCTTGTCATACCAGTTTTTGGAGGTCTCCCACACAAGCACAAGGTATACCTGGAGATCTGAAAATTCTACATCTACAGTAGCATTGTGATACCAACTCAGTTCTAAATAATGGAAGGAAAAATTAACACACACAATATCTATAAAAATATTTCAGAAATGTAAATTAGAAAATTCACTCTTTGTTGCTAGGTGTTTAGATTTTTAAGCCTAGTATTTGCTGCAGTAATTCATTCAGGGCTATTATAATCCATTGTGCTGGCCTACACTGGTGGACTTCTTAGTGCCAAATGTTGCCTTGTAGCCCTTAATGGTTCCTTCATGGCCATTAAAATATATTGTCTCCATAATTACCTGAACTCCAGGGAACAAGATAATGCTGTGGTACTAGAATTACATTGCTAAGCAAAATATCTGTTTGTAACTGGCTTGTATTCAAAATAGTCAGATACTAAAACCATATTTATAGTTAATGGCTTGCTCAGTTCAGTTTAAAAAAAATGATTTATTTTCTATTGTCAAAAGCAACAACATCAAAAAATATTTTCTCCTAGCATTTATTTTATGGCATGTTCACATGCTAGTGGCCTACAGGAGATGTCTATGCTGAAGACCTTGCCAATTCAAGATGTTCCTCATTCAGCAGCTAAAAATTACTTGCACTATGAATGAGTCAGTAGGATAAATGGCAGGAGGTGAGAAGCTGCCAATGTAAGACATCAGAGGACCTAATTTTATATGTTCCTGAGTGTCAGTATTAGCTGTGAGGGTGCATATAACTGCTGAAACCAGACTAGTGATAGAAGGCTAAGGAAAAGGAGCATGTTCTAAGAAAGCATCTGAAGGATTTAAATTAGGCAAATTCAGTATCAAAAATAGACACCTACCTAGTACATGGCTTAGGCTGCTGCCAGGAATAAAAAGAGCAAACTAAGCTTCAGAGAAAATCAGGGTATAGTGGAGGAGGGGGGAAGGCAATCTGGAAGTGCTGGACAGAATTGCTTTTGGTCCCACTTGAGGGAGTTTGGCTGCCATCTGTTATGTGCACCAGGCTGAAGTCTGGTGATATTCCCACTGCTTAGCAAAAGCAAATCAGCTGACAGAAGCTTGGGCGGCGTTTTCATTTATGTTGGACTGGTGGCTCTGAACTTCCTTTTGTGTCAGCTGCATCCTCAGGATTCCTGCCCACCTCTGGTCGAGTGCTGCATCTTGGTCCCAAACACATGTGAAATAGGTGCTTTGCTGCAGGCACTCCACACCGATGCTGCTGGGTACGTTAGGTCCCATAATGAACAGAAGTAATTCCATACCTATGTGGTCAGTTTTGCAGCTGGCATGGTCAACATAAAGCCTGTGCTTGCCTTAAGGCTTTGGCCATTATAATATTTTATTTGTTGGCTCTGTCTATTAAAACATAAGCGCTTGCTTTTTAAAATTCAGTGCGAATTCTGCACTTGGTCCCATTCTGTGTCAGCAAACATAGTGCTGTTCTTCATCCTCGGCCTATGGAAGTGCTTAAAATGCTAAAGTTGAGGATACGAAAGGAAGGGGGAGAAAGTCTGTCAGCAATTACTTCTGAGCAGGTAAATGGTATTGACATAACATAGCACTAACCATTGCTCTTCTCTGTACAGTTTTTCTTACAAGTCAAGGAAAAAAATGCTGGTCTAATATAGCAAATTTCAGAAAAAAATCCTTATTTTAAGCGTGTTCTTACAGAAGAGGGACTTTGTGCAGCTATAGTATTGCCTTTTTAACATACCCTGATGACGTGAAGGGAAAGAAAGGGCGAATCTTCTGTAGCATGACTGTCTTTTGTTAAATACTTGAAAGGAAAATGCCCATGTACTACTAGTATGAAATGCAATCTCACAGCAGTGCTGTAAATTGTATATTGATTTTAGTTTCAGAGCAGTTATTAATCTCATTCAGGGTGAGCAGCTTTGATCTACTTGCAGACCTGGCCTAGAATTTGGGAGGTTTTGCTTCTGTTTCTAATTCTGCCTCTGGATTGTGGAATAACTTTTGAAAGAATGGCACTTCTGTGTCTCTCTAAAAACAAAAATATCATGCACTTTTCATCCAAATAATGCAATTTCAAAGCCTTTCTCCTTCACAGTTTGCTGTGAATATGGCACAAGTCAAACTCTTCTGTGCAGCCCACCGCAGCAGTGTCTCCTCTCTGGTGGTGGGATCTGCTTTGCCTGGTGTCTGAGCAGACTTTCCCTGAAACAGTTTGAACTGTTTTGACACAAGAGACATGCTGCAGAGCTCATGCTGGTGATATTTTCCAGGTCTTTCATTCCTTCCATATAATTAGAGATAAAAGGAGCTTGATAGGTTCATGAGCTACTTTTTGTTTGGTTGGTTTTCTTAATGATGAGCTTATATTCCTATTTTTATACTAAAGACAGTTTTCCTGTGTTTCATTTTTTATCTGTTACATAAAGCAGATGTTCAGCACCTATTACAATTATTTTCCAATGGATATTGTTTCTGCTTTCTTTAGCCGGGGAAGGGTTTGCTTTTTTCTTCCTTCCCCAGTTTCCAACTATAATTAGAAGCTAGTGCTTCAGTTTTTTCGTATAGTACTGCAGGAGGCTTCGGAAACTGTAACTGATACTTAGTGGCCCTGACTGAATAGGTGGTTGAGTAGCTAGTTATTTGTACCTTTTCTTTGCATGTCAGTATGTTGAAATAGGTGCTCATGAAATATTGCAGAAGAATATTACTGGCAAAGGATTCTTGTCAGTGTGAGTTATTTTCTTACATGAATAGTAACAGAGAATCCAGGGAAAGAAATTTTCTCTATTAGAGTGCACACAAAGAAATGAAAATCTATTTACCTGGGCAGAACAGGTTGTACTGAGGTGCTCTGGCCCCTCTGCATGCTTGAATATGCCCAAAACACAATAAGAAAACAAATGTCAGATTAAAAATGTTAGAAGTAGAGTAGTTAGGTGCCAGCTCCCGGGCAGCTGGTGAAATGCTGGCCGCAGTTGTGAATCCTGCCACCACAGCCCTTGCTTTGTCAGCTGTTGCCTCCACTGCTGGCAAGTGTTTCAGTAAAGTCACTTGAGATTCACAGTGGCATGCTGGCACGCTCCGGCACTTCTCATCGCTCGGGTTTATGGAAGTTCCCACCTCCTGTTAGTCAGGACCAACCCTGAACTGTGAAACAAGGGTCCAGTGGGGACTCTCCATCACCGAGTTAAGGCTGTGGGGAAGGGGATGTCACGGCTGGATGCTGGGGCTCTGTTCTCCTCCTGCATTTGCCCAGGGACATGGCCAGGGTCCCCGGGCACTGCCACAGGAGGACAGTGTCAACCGGAGAGGGACGCGTGGTGTACAGTGCCTGCTTCTGCCTGCGTGGTGTTATGCAAAATCCTTGCGGGGGGTGGAAAGGTGGGGTAATTTTGCTGTGAAAAGCTAAGGGGTAGTTTTGAAAGCTGCGATTTAAGTGTTCTGCTTTCCTCGTCTTAAAAAGGAATTTAAAAAAATAAAAACTGAACACTGAAGATCTGTACTGTGGAAGACAGGCAGTTTAGTCAGCTTTTGTTGGTATCTGGGGTTTTATTTCTGTTAAAGTAAAATGTGAAGGGCATAATATTGACTAGACTATTACCATTAAAATTTGAAATAATTTCAATTTTACACTGAAACTGACAATTTTAAAATTCTAATTTAGCAAGTCAGTTTGAGACTGTCAGTTTTGCACAGTTATAATTAAGTAGATCTAAATTCATCCTTGAAATCTGTGGAGATGATTGACAGGGAAATCGGATATATATTCTAGTCAAGGTAGGGAAGCGAAGCTCAAGCTGAGGGGGAGCTGTAAGGTTTACCTCTCGACAAGCCTCCTCTTGTTTTCTGGGGTTTCACACCACATAATCTGTGATTCAGTCTCCCATCCACAAAACAGTCACAAAGATTTTTTTTCTTTTGTCTTCTGTAACAGGAGCATTTTCCTCCCGTCTTCATATACAGTATTAGGGGTTTTCATCTCAGCTGTATTATCAAAGTGCCATTGTAATATAGAATCATAAAATATACTTTTAAGATAAAAGATTTTTTCACATCTAAAGTGTGATGGCCATGTACGTACACAAGGGGGAATTATTTGTGAGAATTTTGAAGGGGGGAAATATGATTAAAAGCCATGTTGTTTGTGGGTAAAAAGAGTCGGAAATATAAGGACGAGAAGCCTGGCTCAGATGTAATTTATAAGTATTCAAATCAGGCTTAAACTAACCTACAGACAATAGAGGAGAAGTGCAAGTAGAAACTGCACTATGGAGAGTAGGCAGCAAGGCAAGGAACGGTGTTGGAAAAACGAATGAAATAAGTTATGACTGCAAAGCCCTGTGGGGAGTTTGGCAAGCCAGGAAAAGAAATCAGTCCTTGCGGTTTCCATTCTTTTTTTCCTGTTTAGCTTTGACAGAGGAAAGTGTAATATATTAACATATAACTTTGTCCAAAATTTTTATTTCTTTTTTTTTTTTGCATATCACTTCTATAATTTTAATTGGAAAGTAAGATATCCTCGGCATGTCCACTGGGCTAAGCAGTCAAAAACCCGGGCTGTTATGTGACTTTGGCAGCTCAGAGGGGGCTGTGGAGAACTTAAAATTTGCACTGACTTCAGTGAGGAATGACAGGAAAGAAAAGCAGACGGGCAGGTCTGATAGATGAGCGGCAGCTTGTACTTAGCACAGGAAGACAACAGGGTCTCTAAACAAGCTGTCCTCTGTGTGGTCCTCCCCAAGGCTCCACGTTTCAGAATTAGTTTATTAAAGAGCGAGGTCACCATGATTAATTGTACAACCAGTATAACTTCTTTGCTGTGCTGGATAATTACTGTTTTATGCTTCTGTTTGTAGTGGATGCAAAGGCAAGTGTTGCACGGGATAATGTGGCCATTTCTTCCCCGAAGACAATGGAGCAGAGCCCCGTTCCCGACGCGGGCGGGCAGAGTCTCGGGAGCGCTGCCAGGAAAACGCTGCCATCTGCTAAATCCCGCTCTGTCTTCGCGTTTTCATGGTCTGTACCAGGGCGTACTGAAGATCCAGCTACAGATTCATCAGTTGGATCGGCGAAACTTGATGTCAGCTCAGAGGCGCCCGGAGTGAACAAAGCACCAAGTGACAGCGTGGAGGTTCCCGCAGCAGCTGCGCGGGAGGAAGGCGCACATAAAAACCTGGCCTGGGCCCCGCCGGCAGCATCACTTCGTGACATCGATCTCACAGCATCGGTGACACCTGAGGGAGAGGATGTGGCCACCTCAAAGCCAAAACAAGTAACCTTCTTTGACAGGATCTTCAAACTGGAGAAGGGAAAGGAAGGGACTAAAACGCAAATTGGTACCCGGGAGGAAAGGCAGACTTCAGACCTTCCTGACGGGCGCATCACAGCGAAAGAGGCTGCTGGATTACAGAGCACATCAAACAGTGTCCCACAGGGGAAGGCAAGTGCTTGAGTAGGAATATCCATTTCACTCTTAATGAAACCTCTTGGGAATATTAATAGTGCGGGGCAACTTGATGTCACGATGGCTGTGTGAATGAATCGGTGTTGCTCTTAAAATTATTGCAGGTAACCCCCCACAGGGGTGGCTGAATAGAGGCGTGGGAGAAGAACCTATGGCAGAGTGGTAATAGCTCTGATGTCTGCCTCGTGACTAAATGCTGGCATCTGACCTCGAGTTTAAATTCATTTGTATTTCTCTGAAAGGTTTGGGCAAGATAGGTGTGTTCGTGCTCCAGTTGTCAGGATGATGAACAGCAGCCAGCTACAAATGGAAGGAAAAATACCTGAAAGTAAAATTGTTTCTTATGCTTTAGGACCTTGGAGTTTGACACTGGATGGTTTTAAAGAAGTTCTTTAGCATGTTTTGTGCCATTCTTAAAATGCTCACTCTTGAGCAATAGCTGCTTGTTGCATACCCTACGTACCAGAATAAGGAATATTATGGAGTAGCGATTTTTGCAGTCTTAGCTATTGTGATTTTTTTATTTTAGTCAAAGAAATGTGGTCCCTTAAAATGGATTTTACAGGATGAGAATGTGATATAAGAAATCAAGTAACTTATCTGAGAGAGCACACTAATCAAGAAAGGAGCTGAAAACAGACATGAGTTTAGATTTTACGCTTCCTGCAAAGTTTGATATCAGCAAATATACTGTAGGATTAATTTTCAGGTAATTAACTATTGAAAAAGCCCATCCCCTCGATGGGGATAAGTGGCATAACTCCTATTAGTTCTGCTGGAGCGGTGCTAGTATACACTAATTAGTGACCTAGCCAAAATCCTGTCCAATGTCAGGAACAGGAGGGAGAAACTAGCTGCATGGCCCCCTCATCAGAATCTATGTGTAAATGCCATTTTAATAGTAACGGCTTTTATTGGCCTAGTTCAGGCTTACAAATAAGACTGCTGTATGATCACTAATGCTTTGAATAGTGTCGAACATAGTTCACAAGGTGCTCTCTGCTTGCACAGATGACATTGCAGGTTATCCCCAAAAGTATCTTCAATTTCTATTCTTCTACCTTGTCTTCTCTATCTTATGTCTCCTCAAATTGGAAGATCACATTGCTTGTACAAACTTACAAATTGTAATATTTTTCTGAAGATTCAATTGTAAGACTAAACAGTTGCACTTTTGACCATTGCCCTTCAAAAGTGGCACCCATCGCTAGTATTTCAAGACAGCTATACATGCGCATTTAAAGAATCCATAGTCTCAACCTAGCACAATATCAAGTCATTCACTACATAAACAGAACAGGGTGAATAATTCAGAATGAATAATCTATTCAATGCATACTGGCACTTCTGTTTGTAGCTTACAAGATTGAAGCTTTTCAACACTGTAAATTCCTGCAGATATTTTTGACTAATACACACAAAGAAGTTGTTTTGGCTGTGGCTTGGAAGAATTGTTACTTTTACAATCAAATGCAAAATTGATAATTTCTTATTTTGCTGTGATTGCAAACTACAGAGTGTGAAAGGTCACAGTTCGTGCTATTGAAGTAGTACAGTGTGAAACTCTCTGCAATGAAATAACAATCTGAAGCAGCTTTAACCAGAAGTCAGAGTTAAACATTTGCTGGTAGCAAATAGTCATGTTGGGAAAGCTCAAGTAAGAGAGTGTTTCTAATAAGAAACCATCTGGGGACAGGACAAGATAATCTAAATCTTATTCTGCCAGTTCAAACAGATACTAGAAGCACTGTTCATTCAGCTCAAGCTTTTTTATATCAATAATGCCTAGCTTTCTATTAATTTTGAATTCTGTTCCAGTCTTCAGCTTGTACCTATCCACATCCTGAACATCACTAATGGGAATAATCTGTAAATCCCAGGCACTCATCAGCTGTAGGTTATGTTTGGTATATGTGTAAGTGTTCGCAGGATCCTGGCCCCCACAACCGCTTTTTGGTGCCTGGGGACCTGCTTGAGGACAGGTCTCCTGTTTAACAGAAGTGCCTGTACATCTTTTACACGTGTGCTTAAAGCTGTACCACTGAAAATCTTTGAGGACTCACAAAACTGGGGTTCAAGTTGCTCAGTGTAAATGAGTGGCAGAACTGTATCGCAGGGGAGAGTGAAATTTTAACCTTATCCTTGAATTTCTGGACTATCATTTTTGCCTTTTATCCTTCAAATAGGAAAAGGAGTATATGCTGGGGGCAGAGAGGAGTTAAGGACCTTTTCTGGGAAAAAATATATCAACTAAACACTTCTGATATGTTGCCAAACTTACTTTAACTCCATTTCTAAAACAAAGGCTGTGGCTCTGCCTTGCAGCACAGTTGCCTTCTGTTCCCTTTAAAGTTGCTAGCTCTCATGCAGGGTGCGAGAATGACCAAGTCTAATTTAATTGCTGTTACTGTAGTAACTACAAACTGTTACCAAATAATCATATTAAGAATCCAGATATTGCTTCCAACAGTTTCTTTTTTCTTTTTTTTTGTGGATTATGACTTGTAGTATCTGTAAAAGCAAAGCAAAGTTTCCCTGAATTGAGTGCCAGCACAAAACAAACAGCATTGCTGGTAAGTAAGAGAGAGGCTCTACAGTTGTAGCTTAAGAGCTGCACAAACATTCTGTGTTTGGTGAACCACTCTTTATTTTTGTGGTCTACAAAACTACATTCAGAACACAGCATAATTAAAACAAGGACAGAATTCATGAATTCATGAAGCATTTACTATGTAAGCCAACGAAAAGATAAATTATATGCCTGAAATGTTTCACTGAGCCATGATTCATACAAACAAAAGTGCTGGCAGGAATACAGTCTTTTGATATGTTTTTCTACTGACTGAACTGAAGCTACAGTATAAGTATTTAAGGTGTTTATCACCCCCAAATTTCGCTCCTCAAATAAATGAATTGAACATTTACATAGTATCTGTTAACTACTGATACTGACTTTCTGCTGTTATTTCTGGAGTTCTCTTTCATTATTTGCCTCCGGGGCTTTGTGCAGCATATTGCGCAGTGAGCTGCTACGGAGGTTTTTGTGGTTATTTGACTATGGCTCTGAAAATGTGATATCGTGGGACTCCACATTATCTCTCCCTGATTTATATGCTGATGGCCTGAGCCTGTGCTCCTTCCTACAGCAGTATTCCCACGAGAGCGCAAGATGGATCACAGCATCTATCAAAGTCCAGATTTGAGTTGTATCTTGGTAGCTAATGGCAGCCTTGTCTTGGGAATCCTGGAGTAGGGTTTCTCGTGCAGTAGTGGGTCATCACAGGGTCCATTTGTGCTCTGCAAGTTGGAGTTCAGGGATTTTTGGATGGCGTTGTGCCTCAAGCTCTAAACAGTCTGCAATAGCTTTTGCTTCTGCAGGGCAAAGTGTGGCTTTAGCAGGGAGATACCCTGGAACAGCTAGTGCTGCCAGTGGTGGTACCTGTCCCCTCTGCAGTTGTCCCAGGCGGTATCTGCTGCTGCTAGCAGCTGTTGGCTACAGTGCCTAGCAAAAAGAGCCCTTCCTCCTAAACTGACTGCAGCCCAACATCGGAGCTTGTGTGTGTAAAAAATAGTTTGCTTGTTTTTGTTTGATAGCATCAAGTAGTAAAGAGTTTGATAGCATCAGGTACTTCAGTTATGAAGCTAGTTCTGTTTAGCAACATATCTTCGGCCTCCTGCTTCTTTGGTCTCTTGCCTCATGCCTTCGTTGCCCCTTTAATATCTGAAATAGAGCCAGCATTTTTCTTATGACCAGAGCTCTTTAGATGGCAACCCTGGAAGCAGGGCTGCCGAAGCTGGCATGGCCATGCATGTTCTGCATGGGACATATTGTTCTTGGAGCCACTCTGGCCCGTAACTGGCAGCTGGACAAAGTGGTGTGTTAGACCCTTGTAAGAAACTTCTAAATAGCCTGTTGAAGCACTCTGAACTACTGTGCTGTGTTTCTTCCTGGGTAAACTTGGAAAACGGTGGGTGGAGAATGAGACAGAAGTCTGTTCTTGCAAGTAAAACCTTGCGTATTTTAACTCCTTAAATGCTGCGTGGAGACTGGTCACGCCATGCTCATATTTCCTGATGCCAAATTAGTGCTCTCACGTTTTAAAACATTTATGCATCTTTAGTCTACTCCTTTTAGTGACCTATAGGAATGTTTGTCCTCTGCAAATCCTATACAAATATTGTGGTTTTTCTAATCACCCAGTACAGGGAAAGGTTCTCAAGAGTACAACTTTAACTTTACCTAGTAAAAATGGCACAGAACAACTATGTCTAATTGGCAGGTTAGGAAAAAACCCCTTGGTGTCACTTAGACCTCCAGACAGTCTTTGAGAGCAGTGATTCAAAGATGCTGTTTACTGGAAACACCTGGACAGGCTCATCAGTTTTATTTCTTGTCCTGATTTTTCCTCTGGAGTAATCTGGGCATCTAGTATCCTACCAACTGCTTCTCTAGTCATTGTTTCCTAAGTGACCACATGTGTACTGCTGTCTAAGTAGTTGGGGATGGTAACTTCTGCTGAAGAATTATGGCACAACTATGATTGTCCATTCAATAATGTCTCAAATCCCCTACCAAAGTTGAGGTCACCATTGTGCCAGGCACAATTTAATAATAATTGACAGATCCAGCCCTGCACTTAGACAGATAGACAAAAGGGAGGAGGATTATTGGTAACACTCTGACATTACTAGCCAGATGTAGTACTCTTAAAAAAGAAAAGCTGAATGGGACATGGGGACTTGTCTCAAGCTTCTCTCTCCTGCACAACATTTGTGTTGGCTTTACGTGTGCAAGCTCAAGGCAAAAGTGGCCAGAATGGCAGGCAAATTCAGTATAAAAGGATGCCAAGCTCTCCAAATCTGGTCCAATAAGAGTCTTTTTTTAAAAAACAGACCCTTGTTTAGGTGTCTAAAGAGAAACAAGTAACTTAATATTACATACTTGTGAGTGCTTGAGCACTGGAAAAGTATTTTTGGGCTCTGGGAACTGTTATTCCAGGAAGAGAGGAGGCAGCTCTATCTGGCTCAGAAGAATTACTTTGGGTTGTTGCTTTTTTCCTTCTTTTAATCTGCACCAAGTTTGTGTTTGCTCGATAAAAATTATTTCTGGAATTGCAGAATAGAGAGTATGGGAAGCAATCTTTGTATGGTACAATCAGACACTGAACTGTCAAAGGCCAAAATCTCGGCGTTTGTTCCTATTCACAAGTTCAGCCTTGAAAAGAGAAAAGCAGTGTTGTTTGGGATGCCGTGTGCAACTTTACTTCTGTTTGTTACACTTGGTAGCTGAGAACAATGTTCCTCCAACCAACGGCAAATGCTGAATATATTAGAGAAGAGGGAAAAGAGATGTATAAATGCTTAATTGTTCTGAATGCGTAGGCTGGAGAAGTATGGCTGGAATTAGGGTTGTGACTCTCAGAGCAACATAATGCAAGTCACAAATGTTACTTTTGCATTCCACTGGAAACTAAGCAAGCTAGGACTGAGGAAACTCTGCCCCCTTTTTTTTAGGAGATAGATGACTGCAACCAAAAAGACCTACGGCAGGACTCGGCAGGTGTCAACGGTCCCACTGCTGAGCAACCTGCAAAGGCAGAGGTAAAACAAGACAACCCCCAACCAGCTGCTGCAGTAGACAACTCCGTCATGAGTTTCCTTAAAACACTGGTAAGCTTTTGCCTTTCCTTTTCATCTCTAGGCTAGGCTTTAAATTGCTTATAAAAATCCCATGTGGACATGTTGAGCTAAATGTAACATGTAAGCTGTCACGGGTGCTGAGAAGTAATGAAGCCAAAGAGATGCCTTTAGAGAATGACTTGAAGAGTGATAGAGAGATGTGTAGGTACAGTGCAGTTATGATCAAATGATGATGACCTACTCTGGAAACTTCCTCTTCTGCATAGACACTTGTACACCTGGAGGTATGTAGCTGTCTTAAGGATTTTCTGTGTGATGAAACTTTATTTTGTAATATCTCTAGAAGTTCATTTTTATGGATTAATTGGATGTATAAGCTTGAATAATATATCTTTGGTCCAGATATTATTCATTTTAGCCATTGACTTTAAGTTGTTCTTGAGAAACGTTTGTATTATAATTTTTCCCACATGGAGGAAAGCAATATTTGTACTTCTTTCACCTTTGTGCTAGGAAAAAAATGCTAGTTTCAAACATGATCTTTCTGATCTTTTGAAAGACTGAGTTGGATGTGACTGTCTGTTTTTTCTCAAATACATTTAAGGTCTCCCCAAGCAAAGCTGAAGCCAAAAGTGATTCTGAAGATAAGGTAGGCAGATTCCTCATTCTGTCACTGGTCACTAGATGTTTTTGACACAGGTATTTCCTCTTCATTGTGTTGCTTTTTCCCCAATTGATGATGTTATTTGAAATAATTTTTTAAAAAGTCCCCTGAATAAATTTGAAAGGAAGATGAGCACAAACAGTGCAATTCTTCATATCATATGTTACAATCAAGATCTGAACTGCAGCATTTTCTGCAAGGTTGATGATGACCTGGTAATGCTTTTGGTTGTTACTCTGACTTGTCCTTGATCTAAAACTACAGGTCCCTGCAGTGAAATCCTCCTTAGTCCACAGAAAACTATTTGCTCATAGAGTTGTGCAAAGCTTCTGGTTTTTCATTTCCAGTTGTGTATATGCATGTCTCCTTTATCTCTCTTCACACCTGCTGGAGCTGCCGTGTCCTGGTGGGGAGGACACACGAGGCCCCCCTGCCCGTGGCAGCTCTGTGGCTTAGGTGGGCACGGGGGGGTGCGCAGGAGCCTGCTCCCACCCTCCTGCCCTGCAGTGCATCCACAGCTACTGCTGGGTCCCTCCTTGCAGTGCAGGAGGACCGGCAAGGATCAGCTTCCCACTGAAATCTATAAAAAGCAGAAGGAGATCCCAACACATCCTCTCTGGGACTCTTCTGGCTGAAGCACCCCTGTATGGACTGTGCTACAGTCAGGGCTTCTGGGCTGTTCCTATGCAGCAGCTGAAACCTCAGGAAGATGATGGAGCTGCTCTGAGCAGGACTGGGACTTGCAGGGAGAGCTGTTCTTCCCTGACCGCTCAGGATTCTTCCCTTTCCATACAGAGATGAGGATCAGGTTTTTTAAGTGGGGTGAATTAAACACTCAAGCTGTTCTAATACAGCATCAGGCTGACTGTGTGTGATGTTCCCACTGGGAACTGAAATCTGTATTGGCTGGACAGGTACAGGTCCAGTCTGAGAAACACTCCTCCACGTAACAGGCACATGTGGCCTCTTGCTTTCCTCTTTACAAACCATTTGTTCTTGGATTCCACTGGCAAGAGGAAACTCTTTTTTTTAGCACCCATGAGCAGTGATGGTCCTTAATATGTGAATTCAGAAAAGCTTCGTTATTATAGCTTTCATTTGCTATTAGAGATGTTGAAAATATCAAAAACAAACTTGTAAAAAAGTGGAAAAACAAACTATAAAAATTAAGTTGAAAACATAATCTTCTAAAATGGAAAAATGTAGGAGTTTAAAGACTTCTCCTTTCCCCTTTTTTCCTGTTCTGTTAGTGCCAAAACTTAGAATAGTTTCAACAGAAGCAGAAGTGAGACAATTTGTATTAAGCTGCCTTCTTTCTTCTAGTGTTTTAGTGGCTTACAGGCATATCACTGACTGCATAACTGGGAACTTGCAGATTAAATGTCCTTACACATTGTTATGACCATAATAACTAACGTTTTTCTTGCAATGCCTGTGATAAAATTTAATTAACATATAAAGAATAAAACCCTAAAAAAGAAATGGTCTTTCCATGCAACTACTGGGTAGCCAAAATCACTATAGGCATTAACATTTTTTTCTATCCTATTTTTTATCCTTTTCGTCCTGTTCAATTTTTTATATAGCCTGGTACTAAAGTGGTGAAGTCAGTCTTTCCAGAAAGCTTGGTGAGTACATGGGGGATACAGATCACTCCCTGATTATAGCTCAATAATTCTGGAAATCATCAATCAGGGCTAAGGTCCTCCAAGATATCCAGAAAAGGTAGTTATCAAATTGCACTGTTTCAGTGAGACTTGTAGCCCTTTCAACAATTTCTGAAAAATCCGGTTGTTCAGTCCCGTTTGCATACCTGAGTTATCAAGCGCACCCATGTGCTTCTACAACAGGTGACTGTTGGTGCGGGCGTACTGTAATTTGGAAACAAATATGCTGTTGGGGTTTGGTTTGCTATCACACCTGTGAGGGTAAACAAATCCAGATGACTAGCAGGATATGCAAACTCATTATGTAGAGGTTAAATGGAAGTTGGTTTTTACGAAGAATTCCTTATCTTCACTATCTTCCTGATACAAAGAATGACATTTTCACTACATTAAAGGAAAAATATGTTAAAAAGGTTGATTTTTCAACTCTCATAGAAAAGCTGCAGATTTTTCAGCTGATATGTATAATGAAATAATGGTCACTTATTTCTCCTGAGAAATAACTCCTGTCTTAATGGTAAAGACGTGTTCTTAAGTGAGGCTTTCCCCTTCATGCAGTCTGAGCCTCTCCTGAGCGCCATGGGGCTTTTGCAGGGTTTGGCTGGCAGGGGGGCTGCTGTGCCTTTGAGTCTTGGTCACACTTTCATTTTGTCTGCTCGTGCACCCCCTTTGCAAGGAGGAGCTGGGTTTTATCACACAAGGGGTGGTACGTTCCCAGTGTCTCTCAGCAGTGCGCACTCATGGCTAAGAGGACAGACAAGCTTTCTCATAAATCTGAGAAACGGCCACAGCCCACTTCAGCTTTGCAGAGCCTGGCAGCATACTCCCTCCTGCTGAAATGCAGAGGTGTGCGGCATCAGTGAAGCTGAACTTGGTGATTTTTGTAGCAACATGCTGTCATCAGCGATGCCTCTGGCTTTAATCAGCTGGCTGAAGACCTGTATGCTTTCAGCTGCCTGGGCACACCCTTAAGGATTGTCATTTCATCCGTGTAAACACAGGAGGTTTAATATGAGTTGAGTCATAGTTTCTTGGATTGATTGATCCTTTGCAAGTTTATACTAACCAACATGGCATTCAGATCAGATCCGCCCCAGACCATCTATTTGACCCTTCTGTAGCAGATCCTGACTTGTTCCCGCATCACTTTGGGAATACTGAGAATGGTACAGAGTACTGCAGGGGAAAACAGCCAATTTTGATCCAACTGACCACAGCCTCTTCATAGTACAAAGCACTTTGTTGGAAGCGTGTAACTGCACTGAATGAAACAATCTTGAAACCAAGATCTCGACTTCACGTGCTCAGTGTGTTACATTCTGTACTCTGGACCTTTCCTCCTACCCTTTTAGTTGTGGTCAACCACAGTGCTTGATACTTCACATCGTAAATACTGTAGGCTGATTGTTTCTTTGGAGTTTGGGTCTCTTCATGCTTCCATAGTACCTGGAAATTTTTGTCAACTCATTTTAAAGCTTTTTACTGGTTGGAAGCTTTTATTTTTGCGTTGTTCAAGTGTAAAAGAAAACAATGCAAAGGGGCAAGCTAAGTACCCAGAGGGTGGAACTTGAGTCATTTGTCATTGAAATATAATTTTTAAAATTTGTATTTCTTCACTATATATTGGCCTGATTCTTAACTAAATCAGGAAAGAAATTGCCTAAAGGAGATCAGAATGAAGTCCAGGATACTAGCAAGCAGTAAGTAAAAGAAATACTACGTCCTCCTTTGTACTAGGTTATCACAAAGGCATCTTACTGCTTTAAAACCTGACGCTGTGAAACACTGAAGAGTGGAGAATGCTACCCCGTATTATTTGTGATTAGTCACATGTTATGGGCATGTGTACAGCGCAGTTACCATAGAACAGACTTTTGTGTTAACTTGTTTATGTTGAAGCTCAGTTAAGCAACCTTGGATACTTATGGCTTTGTGTCCCCCTCCTTTTTTACTATTGAAAAGGTGAAAATGGTGGGGAAGGAAGGGAAAAAAAAAACCTTATTGTTCATAACATGAAAAATTAAGCTTTTTTCCTGTACTGATAAATCCAGAAGGTTGTGTTGAAGTTTGGGGGGGAGGAAACTTGAATGGTGAAATTTTGAAGTGGTTCTTGAATTTGGAAATGTATTTTTCTTCCAGTGCTGTGAAAAGTTAAATGGAACATTTTAGCAAATGTTACACAAGTTTTCTGAGACTTGTAGAAAAGTCATGTATTTGAGTAGGCTCACCTCTACCCTTCCCACCATGCAGGGTAATTTTATTCTGCATTGAGCTGCAGGTAGTCTTTTTAAAAACAGCCTGATACTGCTTTCTCTATCAAGACATCAATTTCAATGTTTTTCTTAAATTTATAGCACTTTGTAGTGGATTTTTTCAATGTGGTGCCTTCTGCAGACATTTAGAATGGAACGAAAAGGAAGCAGCGCTTTCTGATTCAACACTTTCAGTACCAGTGTATCATTACTATTTTTCTTATACTTTTATTTCTAACTTATTTCATGAGTATTAATGCAGAATTGAAATATTTTATGTAGCATATATCATGAATATTCATAGTGCCCTTTTCCTAAATAATGCATTATGCAAAACATTTTAAAGTCCCTATAATACTGCAATAAAAAGAATGAAGGTATTTTCAAAAATGTATGTATCTGCCTGTTTTAAACTTATAAACCCCAAATTCAGTTGGTTACTCATGAATGTGAAGTAAAGAAGTCTCAGTCTTTGTGGGCTTTGGGTCTCAATTTAATGTAGAATTTGGGGGGCAAATTGTGGTCTAATTTTGAGTCAACTGGATTGCCCTAGCTTTTATATTTATTTCACTACTCATGTGAAAGAAAGTCTAAGGAGAACTGAGTAATTGGAAGAAAACAATTTGTTGTCCAGGGCAAAAGGGAAATGTGTGTTTTTATACAACATGTATCAGTGTTTGAATGTTTTTCATGAATCAAATAAGAACTTTGCAATAAGTACTGAACTTCAAATGCTGTTGTACAAAAGGGATCGAAAGCGGAAAAAGGCCATGGTGGGCAACCTGCTCCGAAGACAGCGGCAGAATCCCAAACTAAAGGAGCCAAGAAAAAGAAGGCAGAGAGTCCCAAGCTAGGACACAGTACATTTAGTAAACTCTTTAGGCATAAGGTCTGTATGAAACTCTAGCAAGAGCAGAACCCTGAGCAGTAACAGATGGCTCCTGTCACAGAGTGAAATGATTTAATTGGTAACTGAAATTAGCATCTGGCCAGCTGTGCAGTGCTCTGAAAACTACTGGTGTAGTTTCTGTGCCAGGCATTATGGAAAAAATCTTTATGTGCAACATTTCTCTCATTATACCATCTGTGAATTCAGGATTCTGAAACAATTCCTCTAACCTTCCCTGCTGTGTGCTTCCCAGTTACACTTACTAATGCTGACTAAACTTCCTTGGCCACTTAAAATAAAAATAAAATAAAAGGTACTGACAAACAATGACTTATGCAGATATGAACAGCGCCTGCAATTGTAGAACAGGTTTAAGAGCTCAGTCCAACTGCAGTTAAGGCTTTATGGTCCACATTGCCTTAACATGCACTGCCATATAGTTAACATTGGTGATTTGGTGAATGGGCATCTGATATGGTACAGAGAAGGTTGGAACATGGAATTTCCTTCAGAAAATAGGGTTTTTTCACTTAAAACAGGAAAAGTAATTGTTGCCTGAATTCTAAGCTTACTTTGGATGGAAAAAGTTTCGTTTTCAAGGATCTTTCAAGTTGTTCAAAATGCACACGTTTCGTGCGAATGGTTGTTTTAGAGGACACTAGCTTTTATCTTAAAAAAAAAAATCACTGAAAACTTTTCATCAGCTTTGGTCTCAAGGTCCATATTTGGGCATTTCTGCATTCTCTGAAGAAGATAATCTGCCATGATGTTCTGTGGCGAGGAAGCAGAGAATTGTAGCTTTTTAGCACAAAGAATGCAGAAGCAAAGACCCTTCCACTGGGGGAGGAAAGTAATTAATATTTAATGCTCACTCAAAACACCCACATGGAATTTCTGGTGAGTAGGGGGCTTTATAATCAAGGGCACAAGGCAAAGGCAGTTCTATAAGATATTTTCAAAACAAAAATGTTCTTTCCATTGTCTCATTTTTGAGATAAAAATGTCACCTGCATATTACTGAAGGAATAATAATCTTCCCAATGGTTTTAAGTCTACAGTTCTTGCCAACAGCTTAAAGTTAAGATCTCATCTTGTATATACTACATTGATAGCTAATAGTTTTGATATTTAATACAATTAAAGTATGAATTACTTGTTTGTAATGAACTGGGGCTTCCTGGTAAAAAAACATACCTGGCTAGCATTTTTTTAAGGTGCTAAGTCTCTTCTACAATAGTTCAAAATCTCGCAATGAGTTGTTGGGAGAGCTGGTTGGTTTTCATTAGGTTATTTGATAGAATTATAAAGACTTTTGGTCTGGAATGAAAGCAGTTATCTTGAAGGAATGCAACAGGCCTGAATTTTTACAGTAATAAAATCTGTCTTATAAAATGCCATTACTTTTTAAATATTTTTGTCTTGTTTCTAAGTTTATTTTCACAGCTTTCTTTCCACATACAGAAGCAATAAGTGGGGTATCGTGACATGTTAAGAATAAAGGAGAGAGATTAAAATGGTGCCAACAGTTTGCTTGTAAGGCTGATTGAAAGTGGAAATTCAAATCAGAGCAGTGCTGTGACAGGCAAGCCCTGAAGTTATCACCTTTAGTAAAAAAAAAAGTTCTGTTTATCTCTTTTCATTCAAAATACCTTAGCATGATGTATCAACTAGATGAATAGGTAATGAATTCCTTTATTTGAAATGATCATTTTAATATATGTAGTCATATTTAATTTTAAGCACTTCACTCTCTCTGAAAGCTCTGTCTCTCCAAGTCTTCCAAAATGCACTTCTCAGTACCTTAGTTAAGAAAAGATTTAGTATTAAGTTAACAAACATTGTCTTTTGGTGTCCTGTGTTTACATAAATACTAACTTTAAAGCAACTTGTGAATGGTGTTTTCAAACAGCAATGTGCATCCTAATATAAATCCATAACATAAGCTGATGGAATGGCATTTGGCCATTTGATCCCAAAGACTGAGTTTGGATGGCATTTGACAGCTGGGTCCCGGTCAGTCCTTTTATTCCCATCTATGTGTATTTGCCTTGCATTGCATGCCAGTTTTGCAGTATAAGTGTACTTATTTATGGGACTTTGACTTGGAAGGGTTAATCACTTATTTTCAGCATTAGTACTGAAGTCAGCTTGTGGCATTACACTACTTTTTACCACTTGCTCTGGATCTTGTTCTTTAGGTTTAACCACAAAAAGAAGTTCTTGGCTCCTGCAAAATTACTCTCGCCTATTCTTTCAAGAAATCTGCAAAGCCTGCAGCAGGCTGCCTAAACCCAGGGGTGCTGGGCTCATATTTACTTGAGTTTGTGGCTTGCTGCTCCTCTTTTTGTACAGCTCACATACTCATCTTCAGTGTAAGCTATGCTGGATGTTAGGGTCAATAGATACTGATATAAATAAGTACCAGTCAGCCAGGAAGGAGTTTAACAAACTGGATTCCTCCTGGCTTCATGTATTTTGATGAAACCAGGAGACCCATCACTGTGAATGATTTTTTTTTTTTTTTTTTTTACAAAAGAGTAAATCCCACCTAATGCACTGAAGTGTGAGGGGATGGACTAAACAAACCTCTAGCACCTGCAGAGCTCCTCTTTGTAGAGCTGCAACTCTTGCTTCTAAGCTATAAAGCCACCGCTGTTCTGTGCCCTTCATTTCCAGGCAGTCATCTGCCTATGTTTTGTATCCCAGAAAGCAAAGCCTCCCGCTTTGAAGGTGATGTTAGCATCTCCCTGACTGGTATTCAATTCCCCCAGTAGAAAAGACCCAGCTCTGGCTTATGTGTGAACTGAAAGTTGTACACACAGGCCCAGCTCAGAAAAAGATCTCTGCTAATATCTTAAAACCCTGTGTAATGTCTTACCTGAAGAAGCTGGGAATGCATATGTAAATACATATATTTTTAAAGAACAAGCTGAAGACTGCAAGCACAGTAGTGTGAGCACAAAGCAATTCAACACGAGACTGCAATGCTGCTGCAGGTAGAAGGATGTGATCTGGCAGTCCCTTCAGGCAGCCTCGCCTCTGCCAGAGATCAGTTTCCATGGTTGCAGGAGCCAGGACTTTCACAAACATTCACTAAAAATAAAATAATTTGTGACACAGACAATTCCTGAACTGTGTAACTGTGAGCACTGACATTGCTAGAGACAGACTTGTCTTTGTTTTGTTTCCCTTCAGGCTGCAAAAGAGACCCAACAGACAACTAATACCAAAGTGAGTAGGATGATTCAAGTTATCTGTATGAATAATGCAGTCAAAGGGTAATTATTCTCACTGTCTTTTTCAGTCTCAAAGACACTGTTTCAATTTCTTAATCAATTAATCATCTCTGTTATGAAAGGTGGGTTGCTATATAATTTGCTTCCTCTGTTCAAGACACTACTTCATTTGCAAGGACAGGGCAATGCAGCTCATGAGCTGCACCTTGTTGCTTGGTGTGTCCTGTGCAATGGTGGTCCACTGCACGCTTACCTCTTGTACCAGGTGATGATTGAATGTTCTCCAACTGTCTTGTTCTTCACATGTTTCCAATAGCCTATGTGTTCATGTTTCTTTCTAGAGCACTGAACAGCAGCCTGTTACCTCTGTAAAATCAGACAAAAATGTCCCTTCCTCTCAAGAGCCGCAGACAACTAAGCAGAATACAAAAGCCCCCGAGCCTGCAGCCCAACAGCAGGCAGCGGCCACTGAAGCCCCCAAGGAGGTGACGAAGGAGAAAGCATCGTCCGCTCCTATGCCACTGAGCAAGCTCTTTTGGAAAAAGGTATGTCTGGATTTTGGAGCTGGTCCATCCCCCAGCTCCATCTTCACGCAGCGTCTAGAGTTATTGCTGAGGATAGAGGTACAGTGAAGCAGTCAAATCTGCAAAGATGAGCATGTCCTACATGCTAAATGCATGAGGGGTATAAACGATATATGCAGTTACAAATGCATCCATGAGCTTCGAGTGGTCACGTATATACACAGTTAGATTCCTGCAGAAGAATCTGATAAAACTGTAGTCGTTAAACCTGTCTGTACTATTTTTGAATGATATTATGGAAGAAGGAATATTACTCTGTCAATTCAACACACTTGTTAAAAATCCTGCAGAGATTATAGTATTCTTTACTAAATTATATCTTTAATAGAGATACAGCTAGAAAAACGCATTTCATTTTTGAGAACTGCTTGATTTAGTTCTACATGTCTGAAAACCTGGGATCTGGTGGGTTTATTCTTACTCAATAGAAAAAGTTTCATACCAGAGTGGATCAGTCTTTAAGCTTGGGGATTGAAGTTGATTGCTTGGGAAGGTATATTTTTCTTCAGGTTAAATTACAATTTTAACTAAAATTAGGACTAATTTTGAAAATGTGGTTCCTGTTTCTATGATCCTCAGTGGTTTATAAGCTGAAGGCTTTTTTTTTTCTCATTTCATTTAAGAGAAGAGCTGTATTAAACTTTACTGAATCACTGTATGTTGAATAACTGCTTTCCTGGGCTTGTGTTCAAGTTCAAATCCCAGAAATGAAATGTTTCCAAACACATAGATGCTGGCAGAGTAGCTAGCCCTGCAGCTTCTTTAGCTGTATTTTCCCTACTGGGCAGTGATACTGGAGATACAGTTTGGGTACGTTACTTAGATTAAAAAAAGGTGTTTAGAAATTTACAGAGTAAACATGTTTGAAAACAATCTAAGCTTGAAACACTTGTTACTTGGGACTTAATTTCCTGTGGAACGGGGTGAATCAGGTACTTAGAATGAGAGGAAAGTTGTGAAGAAGAGGGAGAGGGAGGTTTTTTATACAGTTATTATTGCTACGGAAATCTCCTCTGTCTGAGTAGTCTGGCTTATTTGAAAACAGAGATGGGAAGCAGGATGTATGCTGAACATCAGGATGAAATAAGAAAAAAGGGCTTTCTGGCAGATAGTTGTATGCAGTTTTAGTGTAAAACTGAGAGTAATAAATCTGGTCTGAAGTTCAGTATTTTCATAATGAAGTAACAAGGCCCTTTGTGTATTTGAGAAAGAAAGAAAAAGTATGTAAGAAAGGAAAGTTTCCTTGCAGACGAATAGTGAAAAATCACTCCGGGGCGGGGAGGGGTTGAGCAATTGGTGGTGATGGTTGGTTTAAAAAAAAAAAAAAATCTGATAAGGTTTTGGTAAGATTTCAAAACCTTATTTTGAAAGATTAACTCAAACTAATGTAGCTATAGATATTTTATTGCTCTGTATAATGTAGGTTCCGCCCACAGTGAACACCAGCTCCCTGTATCTCGTATTATAGCTAAGTTAAACTAGGTCTAGGTAACTACCCTGCGTCTTTTCAACCTTACAACAATCTTCATGTGAAGTTCTGGGATCTCAAACATCTCAACGGTATAACCCTTGTACCAAAATTCTGTCTTTCACTTCTGTTTGTTCATAATGTTGGGTTTAATTTATCTTACATCATCATTGAAACAAAGCTGCTTACATCAGTGAATGGAAAGCATAGAGAACTCTCTACAACTCCGAGCAGGTTTTGGCTGCTACCAAAAATATTAAGGGTTAGTTAAATCACTTACCCAAACGTACTGAACTACAATAATACGTGAAATCTGACTTCTAACTTTGTAAAATGAGGCCATTTCTGCTTAGTTAGAACTTCTTGGGTCTGGAATTGTCCCCAGACCAAATGTTTTTGCAAGTTTTCTGGAGTAAATTTCTGCAGTAGAGAACTGAATTTGGTCCTAAGGATTTAAAAAAAAAAAGAAATCTGCAGGTTTCAGCATTGAATCCTTACCTATAAAAGGCTGATGTTGCTTTACTGGATTTTCTTGACAGGGAATAATATTATATTTCTTTTGATGAAAGACCTTGATGACCCAGTCAGCTTGAAGCTAAAAAAAAAAAGATAGATGTAAAGAAAAAGTCCTTAGACTGCAGGTTAGCCTCAAACTCAGCTTGGTTTGAGGATTCTGTCTTTTTTTTTTTTTCTGCAATGATTTTATCTTTCTTTCTGGCACCCTTAATGTACTGCCCTTTTGCTAGGATAGAGAATTGAAGCTAGCAACTGTTCCAAACAGGTGTATACTTGTCACATGTAGTTTTTCTTTTTGAACTAACAAATAGCAACCACAACACTCAATAGATCCAGGATTCAGATCCAGCTTCTCTCTTTCCAGGCAGTCTCTCAAATATCTGTTTTCTGATGAGCTTTTACTTCAAAGTAAAGCTAATGAAGTGCCTGTCAACACACTGTAGTTAATGCTGCTGCTCTGACTGCAGACGAATAAATATGTAAAAGAAAAAGAAATAAAATCTTTATTCAGCTCCTCAGGTGGAAACCACTTCGACTGTATTTGCCCCATTTCCTGATCAGTCTGCACAAGAATTTTCGTAACTGTTACTCAAACGTTTGTCATACTAGCATTTTTTTCATATATTAATAGAAAATTAGTTAGTAATTTCATATATTTGTGTTGGAAACCTGATTTTCAAGACCTTGTAGATATCTGATCAGGGCAGAGAAACATGATGCTTCATTTATATCTGATCAAAGCATGACAGTAAATAATAGAGGAAAGTGATTGAGGGAGTATTATTTAGACTACTGTGTATTATCTTTAACAGTGGATATATTTTTTTTAAAAACTAGAATTTTAAGCTGTTGTAATTCTGTTGCAATACATACAGAAAAATCATGCCCTTTCTACTGAGGGGTATTTATGCACTGATAATAGAAACAGCAAACTGGTTAGCTATTAAGTGAAGCAGAATAACACTTTTTATTGCTGAGCCTGCAACCATACTCTGCCACAGGAAAGCAAAGATAAATATTTGGGTGGAGTGTGCGAGATAAATGTTAAACTTACAGAGGACTTATCAAGTTCCCGTATATTCCAGGACGGGGAATGTACCACCTCCCGTCCTGGAATATACCACCTATCAGGCAGGAGAGAAGGAGATTCTGGCCATTTTTTTTTTTATTATTTTGCTGGATTAAATAGATGAAGAAACTTTAACGACAATTCCCCCTGACTGAGGGAGTGAGGAGGACAATAAGCAATGGGCTTTTGGGAGCCATTTCACAACCTGACTGCTGGCATAGGTGCCATCCTTACAGCAGGGAGGGCCCTTGACCTCCTCAACCCAACGAATAAAACCAATAGGACTTATGAGTCAGAACCATGCTCCTGGGCTGTTTACAGATCTGTGTGGTTTAACTATAAGCTGACAGGGGTTAATACTAATTAGTTAATAGTCTGAGCTGTTATAACTCAAGATCTGCTGAGTGGCACCTTCAGGCACCAGCTGTAGGTCACAGGGGGCTTCAGGGTGGAGGTCCGAGAGCTCATTGATGGCTGAAGGTGAGCTACCTTAACTGCAGCAACCTCGGTCATCTTTGCATTGGCAAAGGAGGGCAGAAAGGTGGATTAAAGTCTCTCTAACCCTCTCTGCTTCCTGCCTGTGAGTGGCAGGAACAGATCTCAAGCATGACTGCTCTTTAAGTGGAAATTTCTTGAGCAAAAGGTCATCTCTCATGTATATTATTATGAAGCAGCTTTTCTTTTTTCTTAAAAAGGTATGATCCAGGAAAAACAGAACTGTTCCTTGAGTCTAATGAAATGCAGTGGAGAGTGCCAATTCAGACTCTAGCACAAGATCAAAGCAGGGTATAGTGTTTATCTCAGTTTTGAGGAAAGGTGCAGCAAGCAAAAGGAAAACTCCTATCCTATTTAGTTACCCAGGTCACAAAATAAGTTACACTCTCATAAGGCAACGCTTCATATGGTCAGGAACCTAGATAAGAAAATGGTGTAGTAACAGTTCTCCAAAACAAGAACCAGAAGAAGACTCAAACAGTAGACACAAACTTTCCACTGTAACTGTTTTAAGTAAGCTTGTTACTAGGAGAAAACTAGGGACGCTGTCGTTTGAGATGGAAGAATGCTTCCCAAACATAGTGAAACAAAGAGCCTAGTAAAAAGTAAAATACTCTGTAGTGCATAACAATAGCTGCTGACTTAGGCTGAATTTATTACAACTTGTGTCTAAGGAAACCGGAGGTAGAATTTAGACCCACGAATCCAGCAACCTCAGTTGATGCAATTTATAGGTATAAGGTGGTAACTTACATTTATGAGAACACTTAAGCATTAAAGACTCATGAAGGTGATAGAGCTGGGCTGTTTGCAAATTATTATTATATACAAATTGCAGTTTCATCCTAAAACTAGTCACAAAACTTGATATAATTTTTCTCTTTCTCCTAGGGGAAGTAAAGTAGTAACTTAAGCCCATTGCTCTAGAGAACCATTTAGGTTAATATAACATCATTCAAAGTTATTGACTTTTTATCTTTGTCAAGCTCTTCCTATTACACTCTCAATTCCTGCCAGAAACACCTTGGAGATTCTCTTGAATGCACAAATAGCAATTTTTCTTCCAATTTCTTAGGGGAAACAGGAACACAAATTAAAAACTCTGTTCTTAAAAGTATGTCAGAAAACCTTCTTAGCTGAAAGGGGTTTTCCCTTCTACTGAAAGACCATGCACAGGCATTCCCTGCATCTCTGAAGTACACAATATACCATGGTCGTGTCATCAGTCTCCAAGAATCTGTCGCCTTGATCAGTCTTATTTGAGAGGATTTTGTAATGTCTCTGGAGTTTCCTTTTGTCCCAGCATATCTGAATACCTGACCTGATTGCACGGAAGCTGTGGAACCTCCAGCCTTGGAGGTACTAAAAGCTCAACTTGACAAGTTCCTTAGCAACTTTGAGCAGGTTGGACTAGGCCTCCAGAGAGATCTTTGAGATCACAAAATCATAAAAGAAAATCTTCAACATCAGTTAATTCAGTCTTACAGGCAGAGATGGGTATACAAGAATGATTCCCAGAGATAATTACAAGAAATTTATCATAAAATTTTGAATAGCAAGCTGAAGATCTCAAACAAGATAACCTGTAACTTCTGCAACAACTCTGATATACCTAATAGTACCAAATTAAAGTAACTGCATAGGTACATTGGATATCTAAGCAAAAAAGAAGGAAAAAAACCAAACACAAACTAAAAATAAGGTATTCTAAAACAGGATTTAAACTTTCCTAAAGCCTCCTATGGAATCCATCAAGAAATGTACAAAAAGTCACTGATTACTTCAAACAAATCTATCTCTCTGAATAGTTGACTATCACTTAGCTCTTTATTTAAATAGACAGTGCTTTTCAGAGTTTGGCATCTCGCCCCAAGATGCATTTGTTACCAGTAGTGACACTAACGCTGTTGCATAGACATAGCTTGAGAGACAAAACTCATTTGGGTTGCAGCTGTAACAGCGTAGCAGTAATATGATCCCAAACTGTAATCTTTGAATGATGAGCTCCTAGAAGCGAGGTTGCTGCTTTATTGAGCCACTGTTTCAACTCATGCAATGAATCACTTCCTTCAAGCAAATAGATGGTGAATTGATTATATGTATGTGTGAATAGGCAGAAATATAGATTAAAATTATTATAGATTGATTATCTCAAAAATGTTCATAAATATAAATTAAATCTACAATTCCATGGGGAAGCAGGCTGTGGTGCAGTCATCTCTGGCAGCAGGGGACAAGGAATATTTATTACCTCATCATTCTTCTCCCCCCTACCCCACCCCCAAAATGCTCATTTCTTCCACAAAAGAGGAGTAAAGAACACAGCAAAATCTCTCATGCTGCTGTGGAAGTCCATGGCGAGTCCCCATCTTGCATGTGGGGTCACCCCAACTCAAAAAGAACATGACTGAACTAAATGGTAAAATATTGAGAGGAAAAATGCATAAATATATTGAATGGCTTTTGTATGAAGAACTACATAAATTAGGATTTTTTTTCTTTGGCTCAGAAGGGAGTTGGAGGAACAGAAGATGACAGTAGCATACGGAATGACTACTGTAACATAAAAGGTGAACAGGAAAGATCAGTTATTGCTCAAAATAAAAGCAGTAAAGAGTATCAAATTATTTAGTGACAAACAAAACAAAAGTACTTTTAAAAAAAGCATACTTCAGCTGTACAGTTCTCTGCCACAGGATGCTGTTGGATGTCAAGAATTTCTATCAATTCAGAAATTGTTTAGCTAAATTTCTGTAGGAAAAAAATCCATCAAGGGCTATTAAACTAAAAGATACTACATGGGAATCACTGAGTTGAAGACAATTGGAAAACCATACGAGGGCAGTAGTACTGTAAGCTGCTGCTGGGGGAGGCATCCATTTTTGCCATTCTGAGTCAGGATCTGGGGCTGCAGAGAATCCTTGGTGTTATCTTTTAAATTGTTCTCATGTTCATGTGGCTAAAATTAATTTTGTCAAAATATCTGAGTATGTATTACATGTGAGTTCCTGTAAGTAGAAGTAAAAATTGTGAAATATAATTAAGACCTATTTACAGCAGTTCTTTCCTTTCGTAACCATGGCATACATTTCAGCTGTAACTATGCTGGTTTTTAAGCAGCAGCATGTGTTGAAATACCGATACCTATGGTAACTGCTTCCATTTGATTCAGTATTGGAGGCTGAGGGTGCAACTTACCCAGCTTTTATAAGGTTCTGCACCTTTCTGCAATAAACTGCAGAATGATAAAGGGCTTGCTTCAGGTCAACTTACCTGGTTATCAGCATAATAGCTTCTATTTATGGCAGAAAGGAAGATACTTCTTTATACAATTACAGTGAGATGGAAATTAGTAGTTCTTGAGGGCACAGAAGAACGTTATTTACCAGGGCAGAAGAGTCAGCTAAGGAAATGCATGTTCAGCCTCCTGCCCAGCTGTGCCTCCACCTCCTATAGCAGAAATGTGCCTCCTGTTCACATAGTCTGCACTGCACAGGTGGTCTTGTTCAGTTAACCACACTGAGCGTTCCCAGGATAGCATTGAGAAGGCTGCGGAATGAGACAAGCAGGAGATTAATCAATAAATCTTATGGGGATCCATATTTCAGAGGAATTTACAAACCACATGTCTCTGGTTGAAGTACTGTTACAATAGACGGAACTTTCCAGTCATTCACAAAAGCTCAGTGGGACCCAAAATCCTTCTATAAAGGCAAGGGTCCTGAGTACCCAGCCGCTTTTATTGAATTCAAATGAGGGTCATCACTATCAAAGAGGGTGACTGTGACCCGTGGGACGAAGGGAAGTAACAGATGAGCTACTTAACTACCTTTTACCTCAAGAAGTCATTTATATCTTTGCAACTGGGAAGAGGAGCTAATGCTGTGAATGTGGCCAGTCTGAGGACGCTGTGGCTGGGACATTGCATTGCTGTATTTCACTCTCTAAGAAGGGTGCTAAAGAGTTTTAACAATTAGTAGTCCATGGTGTGTTTTAATTACTTAATCCTATTCTTTCTTTTGTGTGCAAACTCCTGGGTATGATCTTTCTTGTTTTTGCTGGTTTTACCTGAGCGTCATCTATTTGTGGCACATACTACTGTAGGTGTAAGTAATTTTGCTTGTTTTCTTTTTAAATCATAATCAAAGATAAATTATTGTGTTTGGGAACTGGTACTGCAATTCAAGAAAGGGTATTTCTTCAGTTTAAACAAGTGCTTAAAATCCCACCAGCTTATATACTTCCTTTGAATTGGGATGAATCAAATTCTTGACGAAACCTGGACAGATACAGTGATGCTGAGGATGCTTTCATGCCACCTTTGTTCATGATGTACCAACTTACTGGAGCGCTGAGGCACTTTGATTGTAACCTCGTTAAAAAAACCCAAAACCTCCCTGGTTAAGTCTGAATATTTTTTTCTGCTTTCTTAATATTTGCCCCAAATAACCCCAGAACGCATCGGAAGAAGCAGAGATCGTAAGCAATGAAAAAGCAGACACGTCTTTAGAAGCCGTGGCTCCTGGCAAAGACGAGAGTAAGAGCCCAGAAGCCGCAGAAGTGAAACCTAGAAGGGAAGAGAGCAAAACCCCCAAAGCGAACCTGAGGAAGTTTTTTAAGCTGGTAAGCAAACGCGGCGTGTCAAGAGCCGAGAGCGGTGCGCTGCTCGCACGCTGGGGGCGGTGACTCCTGCAAACGCTGCGGCACCGAGCGCCGGGGCGAGGCGGCGCCCGGCCCCGGAGGCGGGTGCGTGACCCGGCCGCGCCGCCCCGCGCTTTCCGCGT